GCCACTGCACTACAGTCTGGGCGACAGAGTGAGACTCCAACTCAAAAAAAAATAAATAAAATAAATAAATTTTAGATTCTTCAAATCAGAAAACACAATTAAAATCAGTTACAGTTAATTTATAATGTCTAAGCTTTACTGAGATATAATTGATAAATAAAAACTTCACATTTCCTGCACACATTTTGATGCATTTGGACAAAGGCCATGCCCATGATACCACCACAAGATCCTACTCATATCCATCACCTCCAAAAACTTCCTTGTGTTCTTTTGTGCTGTTTTATGGTAGGAATACTCAGTTCACTTATATTTTATTTTATTTTACTTGTTTAACTTGGAGTCTCACACTGTCGCCCAGCAAAATCCAGTTCCGGAATTACAGGCACACGCTACCACGCCCAGCTAATTTTTTGATTTATTGTAGAGATGAGGTCTTGCCAAGTTGCCCAAGCGGGTCTCAAACCCACGGGCTCAGGCAATCCACTCACCTCAGCCTCCCAAAGCGTGGGATTACAGGCTGAGCCACTGAGCCCAGCTAGTCAGTTCACTTATAGTCTGCATGAGTCGAGGAGAACCTCAGATAAAAGCAAGCTTGCAGATTAAGGTTAGAGAATATTCACACAAGTTCATGAATCCTTGCTAAGGTGGAAGAGAATAAGCAAAGTTGGTAGGTATTTGTCAAACTCAGCTAATGAACATACTCAGTATGGGAGGCCCAGCGCCAGCCTGTCATTCCAGAGTTTACTGACAATGCAGAAATCTAGGTCACCACCTGAAGCAAAGGTCGAACTCAGCATCCTAAGTGTTGGGGACCAGATGTCATGTGTCCCCTAATGTGATGCAATGTGATGTACTCAACAAAAACGTCTTATAAACTTGCCTGGACTTCTCAAAAAAAAAACAAAACAGTAGAGAGACAAAAGAATAAAAAGGAAAAGATACCAAATGCAACACTGATGCTTTAGTTAACCCTAGTTTAAAAGCAAAAGACGGCTGACCTGGTGTGGTGACTCAAGCCTGTAATCCCAGCACTTTGGGTGGCCAAGGTGAGAGGATTGCCTGAGCCGCAGGTTTGGGACCAACCCGCGCAACTTGCGAGACCTTGTCTCTACAATAAGTAAAAAAATTAGCCAGGCATGGTAGCAAGCACCTGTGGTTCAGCTACTTGGAAGGCTGCGGCAGAAGGATCGCTGGAGCCCAGCAAGTCGACACTTGGGTGGCCGTGAGCATGCCACCGCACTCCAGCCTGGGCGATGGAGTAAGACTCCAATTCAAAAAATAAGTAAATAAATAAAAATAAAAACAAAAGATGCCAGGCACAGTGGTTCATGTCTGTCATCCCAGCACTTTGGGAGGCAGAGGCGAGAGGATTGCCTGAGTCCAGGGGTTCGAGAACAGCCTGGGTAACCTGGCCAGACTTCATCTCTACAATAAATCAAAAAATTAGCTGAGCATGCTGATGCACACGTGTGGTTCCAGCTACTTGGAAGGCTGAGGACGAAGGATCACCTGAGTCCAGCAGGTCAAGGCTGCGGTGGCCATGAGCATGCCATTGCACTCCAGCCTGGCACAGAGTGAGGCTCTGACTCTAAAAAACAAAACAAAACAAAACAAAAAAACCCTACTAAACAGTTACATACGACATTCTCTTAGAATCACTGGAAAATTTTGATATGGTCTGGATATTATTAATTTTCTTACATATGTCATAATAGTATGACTATGCAGGAGAATGTTATTCTTGGCAGATGAATGTTGAAGTATTTGGTTGATGAGGTCTTACTACTTTCAATGGTTCAAAACCAGGAACTACAAAAAAAGAGACATGAAGCAAATGTAGTAAGCCATCAACCACTGAGCCCAGCTGGAAGGCATCTGATGTAAGGGCATTTGATTCTTTCAACTTTCCTGTATTCCTGAATAGAGAACAAACCTGTCTGATGAAGTGTTAAGTCGATGACACCTGTCTCCCACAAAATGCAATGCAGCACATATCCACACGTGTGAATGTTCAGTGAACCTCACACAGAGAAACAAATAAATAAATAGAGCAAGGCAGACTGTGGGAGTGTTTCGTGTGACCAGTTTCAGAAAGTAGAGAACAAGGTCAGGCGTGGTGGCTCCTTCCTGTACTCGCAGCACTTTGGAAGGCCGAGGGAGGCTTGCATCCAGAAGTTCAAGACCAGCCCGGGCAACACAACAAGACCTTGTCTCTATAAAAAAAGCCAAAAAATCAGCTGGGTGTGGTGACACACACCTGTAGTCCCAGCTACTTAGGAGGCCGACTTGGGAGGATCGCTCAAGCACAGTTTGAGGCTGCAGCAAGCTGTGAATCGCACCAGTGGCGCTCCTGCCTGGGTGGCCGAGCACGACTTCGACTCCAGAGACAAAAGGGAAGCAGGGCAGCAAAAACGGAAAACGGGAAACAGCAGAAGAGCCAAGCTTTGGAGTCACATACCCTGAATCCTCAGCCCGCCTCCGAGACTATTTTGTGATCTGTAAAATGGGATAAAGTACGTCTTGGCGACACTGAGAGAACAAACGAGACGGTGCGGAAAGCGCCGGCCTTGCGCCTGGTACAGCAGAGGACCCTCTGCCCGTCTTCCCAGTCCATATGCAACTCTGACAAGAAACAGCTGCTCCAGGTAGCAACAAAGTCCTGATTTAAATTTCCATAAGCCCCACACTAGATGCTCCTGAAAAGTCACGGTGCCCCAGGTGTTCTATTTAAGAAACTGGAAGCCGGGCTCGGTGGCTCAGCCTGTCATCCCACGCCTTGGGAGGCTGAGGTGAGTGGATTGCCTGAGCCCGCGGGCTCGAGACCCGCCTGGGCAGCGAGACCTCATCTCTACAATAAATCAAAAAATCAGCCTGGCGTGGTAGCGCGCATCTGTAATTCCGGCTACTCGGAAGGCGGAAGCGGAAGGATCGCCGGAGCCCAGCGGGTCGAGGCTGCGGTGGCCGGGAGCGGCCGCTGCCCTCCAGTCTGGGCGACGGAGTGAGGCTCCGACTCAAAAACAATAAAAATAAATAAAAATAAATAAAAAAAGAAACGGGAAACCAGCTCTGGGGAGGAAGGAGGAGTCACGGGGCACGCCCACAGGCCGGGGCACGCCAGGCCGGGCTGGCACTTACGTCTTCCAGCGGAGTTATGGACGCGCTTTCTGCTCCGTAATACGGGTTGCGATCCATGTGCAGCACTCTCTTGCCGTTCACGGACATGATGCCCGACAGGATGCATTCCTGCGGGCAAAGCAGAAGAACCTTCAAAAGCAGGAATGGGCTGCTGCATGCTTAAGCTGATCACTTGGTTAAAAGCTCACTACCACACATTCTCTTGGTAGCGAGCATACACCTGTGCAGCACATGGCCTACTCTATGGAGAAAGTCCTGAAGCGACGGGGTTCAAGGTGTGGTCCCCAGGTTAAAACAGTTTTCATAAAAACACTAAACCATGAGTCACCATTTCTTACAATGCTAACATTTGCACTAATGATGTAAATATCAGTGGTAGATAAAAGATGAATCGCCAACCCACACCAGCAGCCACATTTTTCATCACCAGGCACTCACGAGTGTCCTTGAAAAGGCATTAAAGACTGATTTTATTAAACGTACACCCTTCAGTATTCATCTTTTACTTGAGATGGAATCTCACTCCCCCGCCCAGGCTAGAGTGCAGGGGCACACTCACAGCCACCCCAGCGTTGAACTGCTAGGCTCCGGGGATCCCTTCCACCTCAGCCTTCCAAATGGCCGGAACTACAGGTGCACGCTACCACGCCCAGCTAATTGTTGATTTATTGTAGAGACGAGGCCTCGCCAAGTTGCCCGGGCTGATGCCGAACTCGCAGGCTCAGGCAATCCACTGGCCTCGGCCTCCCAAAGTGCTGGGATTACAGGCTGAGCCACCGAGCCCGGCCAATATTCATCTTTTTAATATTCTTTGTGACAAAATGGAAAGCACAAAGACAGCATTTTCAGCTCAGGGAAAACCTTTTGTGCCACTGATTTGAGACCTGAACCAGTCAGTTTTCATGGATCATCATTTTTATTTGAAAAGTTAAATTATCTGCCCAACAAAATATTCAGACTTAGGTAGTTGATGGGCATTTTCTCAAAGACAAACAAAGGAAAATAACTGGCATTATTTGTTGCCAATAACAGCCAAAATTTTGAATGAAAATTAGAGTTTTGGAAAACTTACATCTACCACTATGGGCATGTCAGGTCCCCAATACTTAAAGACCTTTTCAGACGTTCTCAGAGACAATATTAACAAATACGGTTTTCTGACATTGTAAAATGAAATGTGTCAACATACAGAAGACCTCCTTTGCTCAGGGTAAAACAGTATTTTCCAAATGACAAGTGAATGAAGTCACAAAATCACACAGGAGGAAAAAGAGAAATTCAAAGTGCAAACTATATCAGCGACTTTAACATATCAGAATATGAAACAGTCACTGATGTGGTTTCAGATTCCATACCGCAATTAATCTTTTTAAAAAATGACCACTTGTGCTTTTGTATCAATAAAAGCATATCCACAACAATCTAACAATCCAACACACGTCTGTGAGGCCCGATTCTCTTCAGACTTCAGCCAAGATAACATAACACAACAGACTGAGCACAGAAGGAGACATGACAATCTAGCTTTATTAGGTCAGACATTAAAGGATTTGTAGAACATGGAAAACAATGACACGCTTCTCATAATTTTTTAGAAAAGTTATACTTAATAAAATTGTTGTTTGTGTTACTATGCAATGAGTTTATTATCATCACTGAAGCGGATTAATAATTGTTTATTTCTGTTGACTTCTTACATGACCAATATCAACAGCTCTAACCCTTATAAATAAAAACTCTTCAAGGTCCTCAATTTCCAGATCGTAAACAGATCCTGAGACCAAAAGTTTGAGAACTACAGCCCTAAACAAAGCATCCAGGATAACCACCAATAAATTGACAATCTGAGAATTAAAAATGATCACTCCCAAGAAAAAGGTAAAGAAAGCACGGATAAAAAAGGTAAAGGAGGAAAAAGGTAAAGAAACCAAATTAAGATGGGGGGAATCAAGAATACAATTAATGAGAAAAAACACAGAGAAGGGGTAGTATATATTCACTCAAAACCATCGGACCAGGGTTTTGGTGATCGAAAAGCCAAAAAAAATTTTTAATTTTTTAAAAAGACAAAGGAAATTCCACATCTTTATGAATCCTTAAAGCTTTTCAAATGTATTCAAAGGACACCAGATCACAGAAGAACAATCTATTCTCCAGACATCTATAACTTTAAAAACTTTCATTTTAATTTTAAAATTCATACAAAGGTCAAATTTTCTTCCATGATGCGTCCATTCACTGAGCACATTTTTAATGTTTTCAATTACTTACCAGGAGGTTCAACTTCTAGAATAGGAGTGTGCATCATTTTTTATTTGGCTTAAGAAACAAAACACCGAGCACTCCAGAAGGTCCTCGCGCTACAGCCGCCAGCTGTAATGCCTGTGAGCAACGCTCACCTATTCCAAAGAAGTCCCCGAGCAGCAGGGAGACACTGGTTTAGTCCAGCTCCCAGGCACCTATGGCACCAAGGCGGTGGTCGTGAAGAATCTGTGCCTCGGGGCAGCCCAGCAAGCAGTTTCATAATGAAAGCGATCAAGCTGTGTAGATTACATTGACTAAGAGGGAGGACCGCACTGCCTCCAGCGCTGGGAATGTGCACCTTCAGAGGCCAGCCTCCGCCAGAGGCCGCTCCCGAGGGAGGGGGAAGCAGTCCATAACCAGACAATACCCAATACCCACCACACCCCATCCCAGTCACAACCACCACCTTCCCTAGACCGCTCAAGGATCCTAACAGCAAACATTTGTTCTGCCTGTTTCTGAGTTCTGTAAAAATGAAATCAAGCATTTACTTTTTGCATCTGACGTATTTTATTCAACATTAGAGTTGAATATATTGTTTGAATATTGAACATACATTGCTTCAAAGATTCATCCGCGCTTTGTGTGTGGTCTCATTTATTTACTCATTCATTCATTCATTGTCAGACCGCGCCCAGTATTTGGCTTTTCCAAAGAACGCTCTGTGGGCATCCCCACAGACGTCCTGTAAGGGGCACCTCTGGTGCATCTCAAGAAGAGTGAGTGAGAGCAACTTTGCCAGAGCCTTGCCCATAGTTCTCTGCGGCGGCTGTGCTGTAGCCTGCAGCGGCGGCGTGGACGTGCATGCCCTTGCTCCTTCCGTTTTCTCTACTCACTCTGGGTCTGCGGTTCTGTCACCAACATGCAGCTTTCTGTTCATGCCCAAGAGCTACCTACCCTCGAGGTGACCGGCCAGGAGACGACTGCCCAGACCAAGGCGCAAGTGGCCTTCCTGGCGGGCCTCACCCAGAAGACCGAGTTGTGCAGGCATGCCCCTGGAGGATGAGGCTACCCTGGGCCAGTGTGAGGGGGAAGCCTGGGCCCCTCAGCCAAGTTGCTGGCTGCATGCTTGGATGTAAAGTCCATGGTTCCCTGGCTCATGCTGAGAAGGTGGGAGGTCAGACTCCTAAGGTGGCAAACGAGAAGAAGAAAGAGGCCGGGCCAAGCAGAGGATGCAGTACAACTGCCAGGGCCCCTAAAGCCAACTCCTAAGTCCTTTGTAACTCTGACTTTCTCCAGTAGCAAAAAGCTACTTAACCCAGTTCAAAAAAAAAAAAGTCTGTGCCAATTCACACTTGTCAGCAGTGTACAAAAGTTCTTAGTGTTTCAAATCTTTGACTGATACTTACGTTATCTTCATAATTTTAGCCATTCTAGTTACGATGTATTAATCTGTACTTCCTGACAACTAAGAAGGTTGAACTTTTTTTTTTTTAAGTTTATCGATGATTAGGGTATCTTCTTTTAGTAAGTGCCTACTCAAATTTTTGTTCATTTTTATTTATTTATTTATTTTTTGAGTTGGAGTCTCATTTTTAAAACATGCTTTGTCTTTTTCCTACTGCTTTATAAAAGTTCCTTCTATATTCTGGATATATGTAAGTCCTTTATTAGTTATATGCACTGCAAATTTCTTCTTCCATTCTGTGGCTTGCCTTTTCACTTCCTTAATTATGTCCGATAAACAGAACTGAAGGTATTTTTTACAACTATGAAAATCAACCCTATTATTATCTCAAACAATTTACTTTAAAAAAAATCTAAAGCAGCGCTAATGCCTATAGGGCAATACGGTATATGAAAGTAGAATAACATTTACCATCTCAAAAATAGGTTATGACACAACAAACGGAGGAAGACCAAACAGGTTCCCAAGTGACAAAGAGACTCTAGGGTTCAAGCTCTGGAAGCAAAATCTCAGCAAGCAACTCTGAGCCTTACAACGCTGCTATATATAACTTTTCACACTCCATTGCAAATAAGCATGACCCCACTGGCCCATGGCCCTAAAATAAAGGGCCCAATAACTTAAAGATGCGGTCAATCCAAAGAGCTGATGGCAATAACTACCCTCAAAGGTATCACTAGAAGCAAATATGGCAGACGCTAACCACAGCTAAGAAAAAACCTGCAGGTCCACTGGCTCTTCTAAATCTACCTACTAAAGACTGCTTATACACTGCTCAAAGAATAAAATGTATAGTGGCATACATACGCTTTTAACTTTGCTTTAAAATATGGGATGAAGTCACCAATTCACTGGCTTAAACAACAAACTTACTCCCCCGTACTTTCGGAGTCCAAAATCAAGGAGTTTGGGGGCATGCTCCCTCCATGCCCTTGAGGGCAGGGCTCCTCCTTCCCTCTTCCAGCTTCTGGGAGCCCCAAGAGTTCCTTGCTTGCAATAGCATAACTTCAGTCGTCATCTCTGTCTTCACATGTCCCTTAATATTTTAATATTTTCCAAAAGTAGTGGCTCAAAATTAAAATCTACTACCTATCTGGTGAACACAGACTAACAAGCAAAGTACATTAAAGTGATAAAAAAAATAATGTTTCACTTTTTGCAACAGAAAACCTGGTCCAGGCCAGGTGCAGTGGCTCACACCTGTAATCCCAGATCTTTGGGAGGTGGAGGTGAGAGGATTGCCTCAGCCCATAGATTCGAGACCAGCATGAGCAGCATGGTGAGACCTCATCTCTACAATAAATCAAAAAAATTATAGGTGTAGTAGTGCACACCTATAGTTTCAGCTACTTGGAAGGCTGAAGCAGAAGGATCATCTGAGCCCAACAGGTCAGGTTG